TGCTTTGTCCTAATTAGTTCTCACTGTCTACCACACAACGAAGAGCCACCCTGGAAGAGGAAGTCTCAAGGGGCTGCCCAGGTCGGATTGGCCTGAGGCCATGTCTGTGGGAATTTGATTTGATGGTTGATTCCATGTAGGAGGGCCCACCATGGGCAGTGCCAACCTGGGCAGATGGGCCTGGATTGTAAAAGAAAGCAAGCAGAGCTGGGTGTGGTGGAGTATACCTTTTACCCCAGCACTCAGAAGACAGAGCAGGAGCCGGGGAGAGGAGCCAATAAGCTGCATTTCTCCTTAGTTTTCAGCATTAGTTCCTGCCATGACTTCCCTCAGTGACGACTGTGACCTGAGGTATAAGCGGAAGGAATCCTTTCCTCCCCAAGTCATGGTGCTTGTCACAGCAACAGAAAACAAACTATGACACCCCCTCCCACTAAGCAAGGACAGAATCAAACATGTCAAGGGAACAAAGACAACGCTCTGGAAGCACCAAGAGTGAGGCCATCTCTCTGTGTGACAGGGCAGCACCAGTGTTTCCAGAGGGCTGCAGGCTATCAGCAGTTACCTCCGAGGCTGTCAAGCTACGTTCAAGCCTGCGGCATCCCCTCTAGGCCAAAGGTCCTTGGGAATGTCTGGCTTAAGAGGAACCTCAGATCAAAGCTGGGTATGGAAGGGTCAGGGCCCACTCGCTGATCTCTCAGTTACCCTCCAAAGTTCTATCTAGGATAGTCCTACTGTAGTGTCCAGTCGGTCCCTTAACAGCAGCTTGCTTCTTGCAAAAGAAACTGAAAGTTATCTTCACAGTCAGCTCTGATCCTGGCAGAGACCCAGGGGCTATCTCAGGCCAGTGGTCAAGATGGACATAGAGCTGGCCATCCAAATGGCCCCTGCTCCCCATCCCTCCCCCCTCCCTCCCTAGCTCCACACTGGGCCCCTGAAGGATAAAGACACCCCTCTCCTTCTAGCTCAGTGCACTCAGGGTGACATGCCCATATCTGTTTAAAGAGTCTACACTATAAACATATTCTAGGAAGACAAATGGATTGTTCTGGAACTGGTGAGGACCAGCCAAGGGGAGCCACTGAACCTGGTCTGGCGAGGAAGAGGACAGCAGAGTCAGAACCCACGGGACTGAACCACATCGTTTGAATATGAGTAGGAGGAGACCACACAGTAGCAGGATAGCCACTGTTTATCTGGATGGGCAGGTCCACTTGTTCCAAAGTGAAAGGGCCCTTGGGCGGCTGTAAAAGGTATAGATAGGCAGGGCAGAGGACGCCAGAGAAGCAGACAGCAGGGAGCCCCAGTCCCAATGAGCAACCCAGCAGGGCACGCAGGGTGGCGGACTCTCAGTGCAGAGGGGCTATACCAAAGAGGGCACCTTCAGTGTGGGGACAGCAGGTCAAAGCCTGGCAGGTCCACAAAGGCACAATAGGACCAGACTGGGTGGAGCCCAGAAGTGTAGTGAGAAGCCCTAAGCAGGTCTTGGCACCTTGAGCTCTGGGCTCCAGCAAGATCAAGGCCAGTTGGCCACATGCACTAAGACAAACCATTCCAAACAGGGGTACTGGCCAGCTTCTTCATGCTCCTGCACCCTGTGGCTTTTCCCTTAGAAACAGCTCAGCAAAACTCAAGTGGTTGTTTCCATAGTAAGACCCGGGTTCCAGCTGCAGAACTGAGCTGGAACAAAGCCACAGGCAGCTTAAGAGTGGCCGAGGGGAGATGCTTACCAGACCAGGGCCAGGCTCCAACAAAGGCTCCCCAGCTTTCCCCTTGCCCAGCTACTGCCTTTTCAACCAACCCAACTCTGGTTGGCCTGAGGCCCCCAAAGGCCTCTTGGGCTTTCCTCACAAGCCTGCAAAACCAGGCCTGGCTGAGCTACCGGGCAGGGGCCCTCTGCCTCATGCTTGTCATCCCTAAGTGGGTAAGCTCACTGCTCTCCTCCTCTGTAGATAAGATAAAGGACCAAGTGCTGAGGTCTGAGAGCCTGACCTCCCCCAAATCGGGAAAGCTAAGAAAAGACATACAGGAGTCCTCAGAGCAAAGACAGAGGGGGTCTAGTTTCTAGAGAGCAGATCTGTCTCCCAACTCCCTGATTCTCTAACAGCTGACTTGAGGCTCTCCTGGTCTTCACACGGAGGAACAGTGGGACAGGAACATAGAGACGTGGTCAGACAGGCAATGCTGCCTTTCGGACATTGGGAAAATTTTAACCCGGTATGTCTTAAAAGCCTTCCGGGTCTGCAGGATGGGAGCCTTCCCTACCTTCACGGAGGAAGAACACCAATCTATTAGGGCCCATTGATAACACATCATGTCCTTCTGTGACATCTCAGCCAGCTGGTACCTAACATTTGCGAGCTTGGATCCCCAAGCCAGAGGGGCAGTGATGGCTCACGCAGGCTAACACGATAGATACCCAGGGTATCTCCATCATGCTCCAACATCCAACTTTAGGGAGTGTGGCTAACTGGCTTCCTGGTCTGCCTCACCCATCTAAGCTGGGTAACACCATGCCCACTCTTAACCACACTTAATAGCTGAGGACACAGACATGGCAACTAACCAAAGCAGAGATGGGAAATGGAGGTCCTGGGGAATGGGACCCTGGGACACCTGGTGGCCCACCTAAGGGTCCTATAGATTTTACATAGGGTTCGGGAGGACAAGCCCCCTTGGGCCCTCCTATCTTCTTCTACATGAAATGCCTCAGATATAGAAGACAGAACACCCCCCCCCCAAAAAAAAAAGCTGGGTATTGTATACATCTGGAATTGTCTCCAGGCACAAAAAGCAGCACCTGGCTGCAGCCGAATTGCTGCCACATTCCACCCTGGTTAAGACCAAGAATGGCTTGAGGTCTTCTCCCTGACCTTTGCTGGCCAGGTAATACTGGCAAAAGCCAGCGTCAGGAATATGGTCACCCTCTGTGTCTGCCTGGGGCTGAGATGACCAGGAGCTGGGAGCCAGATGGACAAAGAGCTCAGATAACACAGGAACCCCCCTCCCTGGGGAAGCTCCTCACCAAGATGATGGCTGCCTGGATGGAAAAGAACATACGCCCTTATCTTACCCCCCAAGGGCCCAAGCCTTTTCCCAGGAAGCATTGGTGGTTTGTTCCTTGACCTCCCATGGAGAGGGGATGGAGGGGGTAAATGCAAACCAGGAATGATTGCATGCTGGGAACTTTCAGATATGGCCAGTGCCTAGGAAGAGGAAATACTCCACACGGTTGTACAAGGCTGTACAAGGTCTCAGCGGTGTGGATGGGTGCAGGGCTACAGGGCGTGGAGCCTGAGAGGTGAACGCAGACACCAGGAAAACCAAAGACCTGGTTCTTACCAGGCTAAAGGTTCGCCTCACCACCCAGTGCTGGCGACTAAGTGCCCAGGAGCAGTGGTGGGCCGAGCAGGGCAGGGTGGAGATGGCCTAGCTCTGCCAGCCTCTGCTCAGTGGAGTGCAAGGATGTTTCTGAACAGGCAGAGACAGGGAGGAGAGTAATGCCTCGCCTGCTCTGCAGTGTCCCAGGCACTGTTTATATCTCTCATTTACTTCTCATTACAGTCTATAAAGCAGATATCATGATCCTCCACAGACAACAATGCCAGCCCAGAGGAGCCCAGCCAGCCAGCATTCAACCTCAGGTCTGTCTCCACCCAGCACCACGCATGACCTTCTAGCCTAGCACAGGCGCCTGTCTGCACCCATCCCAGAGTCAGTGGGCTTGTAGGTGACCTTTCCAGAGGTCACCCAAGTTCAGGTATGTCCTCTGGGAAAGCCGGCCTTACCCACAGTGGCAGACCAGTCTGCTCCAGTCCTCCATAGCCAAGCAGCTCTAGGAGGACCTCTGGGGAGATTTTAAGGGAAGGACCTGCCACAGCTGGCTGAGTGACACCTCACCTTTCCTCTTGAAAGAGATAAAAGGGGGGCCAGCAATGGAACTTAATAACACAGTGTCTGCCTTGCATGCGTGAAGCCCAGGGTCCCATTCCTTGCATCAAAATCAAAAAACAAAAAAATAATTTTTTTTTCTTTAAAAAAAAAAAAAGGCGATCTCTAATATATTCTCGTTTGGTGGGTACAGCTTTCTGCACACATTTGTGCTCGTGTTTGTGTGCTCCGACTGGAAGACGTACAAGGAGAGCCCTTCCTTCCTCTGGGAGGAAGAGGAGGCTGTCACATCTCAGTAGCAGGAGCCTGGTTCTGGTCCTGCACCTGCCCATCCTGCTCAAGGAAGTGGGTGACCACCGATGCCTGAAGGTGCCTCCCGGTCCACCCCAAGTCACTGAGTCTATCTAAGGGGCCACCTTGGAGGAGGGATGGTACTTCCCGTTTTCCCAGGATCAGGCTGAGGGTGGAAGGTAGGTTTCTCCTACTGGGGAAGCCAGCGAGCCAAGAGGACGCACACCTGAGAACGGAGCCTCCCCCCCTACCCAGCAGGCATCCCTCCTTGGCTTTCTTTGCTGGGTCCACGGCAAGGTGCCCGCTTCCCTAAGGTGTCCAGCTGAGGTCCGGGTGCAATTCCCACACAACGGCTTTTCCACAGGCACTTTAGGGGAAGCTAATGAGTTCCCCCGCCCCCGCCCTCCTCCAGGCCAGCTTGCCCATCGCTTTGTCAGTATCAACAGCAATCAAGAGCACTCTGTGTCCGGAGAAGGGTCTTTAGAAGGGGAGGGCCCGCGTACAAAAGGGGTCTGCGGTGAACCCCTCTCCTACGTGGTTCAAGTTGGCTGGGAGGGCAGTGTTCCGCAGAGCCAGAAGCGGGTCCCTCAGTCCCCGTGAGGCCATAGGGCGCAGCGGCAGGATCCCTCCGACCCCCCACCTCCACCCCCCAGATTGTTACCGTCCAACCCACCCGCGGGTCTGCAGCGCAGACTGCCGAGCCTCCCAGGGCCCTGCGCGCACGGCGGGCCGCCAAGATCTGCTCTGTCCATGGGCTCGGATCCCGAATTGGAGACACCTGCGCCTACTAGGGCGCACGGAGGCCGCGCGGGGGTTACCTTCTGGATGCGTCCATCGATGTCCAGGTAGATGGCCTTGGGCCGGTAGCTTGAGGAACCGGCCCCCATTGCGCCCGCAGCTGCACTTGGACTTTTTTCACCTTTACTTTCTCGCCGCGGCCGCCGCGCCGGGAGGGCGGGGGCGGGGGGAGGGGCGGGGGAGGCCGGCCAACCAGAGCCGGTGGCTCGCGGCCTCCGCACGCCCCTCCTCCCAGGGCGCTGGCCCGCCCAGCCCCTTCAGCCCCTCCTCTCCCCTCTCCTCCCTCCTTCAACCCCTCCCCTTCCCCCCCCCCCCCCCGCCCCCCCTGGCCCCCCCCCCCCCGCCCCCCCCCCCCCCCCCGCAACGCACAACCCCCGACTCTCTCTTGTCCCCATCCCTCTCTCCCTCTCCCTTTCTCCTCCTTCCTCCCAGGCTTTCCCTCATTATTTCTTTCTCCCGGGCTCTCCTCTTTCTCTCTTCCACCTTCTGCTTTCTGAGCCCACCTTCCTCTATCTCTTTTTCTCACCCTCTCTTCCCCTACCCTGCCTCCCCCTTTGCCTCCTTTTCCTCCCCCACCCTTTCTTATTATTTTTCCCTCTTCCTCTTTTCAGGCTCGTCCTTCCTCACCTAGGTTCCCTCCTCCACACTCACTCATCTCTTCTCACTCCCTCCACTTCCCTCCCTCTCTTTCATTTCTGTCCCTTCCCTTTCCTACTCTTCCTTCCTCCTCCCTCATTCCTGTCACTTCCTTTTCCTCCCCCTTTCCTCCACACTTGAGTCTCTCTTCCACCTTCTGTCCCTTCTCTCCCTCTCCCCCTCCCCTCTGCTCTCTCCTCCCCGCCCCTCCCTTTCTCCTGCCCCTCTTCCCTTTGATTCCCATCACCTCGACAGCCTGTTTTTTAAGTGTCCTCTTTGCACAGGTCCCTTGATCAGAGATCACCCCTGCACACGTGGTCAGTCAGCAGCAGTCTTCTGGGCTGAGAGCTGTGGCCACGGTCCACAGTGCTGGGAAATAACCCCCCCCACACACACACACACTCACACACTCCCACCCTTTCCTGTGCCCTGTGTAAAGGCCACCCTCACTTAATTTGAATCGGAAGTGGGGAAAGTTCCTTCCCCTAGTTGGCCTTGCTTTCCTGGAAGGGCAGGGAAGGCTGCTTCCCTCCACCTGGAACGGACAGGCAGCCTCATTTCTGCCCTTTAAGCTGAGGGAAGGTTGCCCAGGCCATTATCTGTTGGATGGAGCATTTCACTTAGCACCACCCCCCCACACACACACACACACTTTTGCTATTTTCCATTAGGGGCTGGGGAGGGGGCGTGCACAGTCAGCCTGAGGGGAGAGAATTTGAGGTCTCCTTCGCCTCTGGACACAATTCCCTGGGGCTTTTCCCTGTGGGAACAGCAGGAGGAGTGGCTCTGAGTTTGTTGCTCTTGGAAGCCTCAGTCAAACTGCTGGAGAAGGTGCTTATTGTTGTCTTAAGTGGATTTCCAGCCGCACTGCCCATCTGCTAGTGTCTGAGTTGTGCTTGCTGAGAATGCCTGGGGCCCTCTGTCCTACAGGCTTGAGAGGAGCCAGTGAATCAACCAGCCAGATTGATGGCTTTTTTTTTTTTCTTCCCTCACTTGGCCTTTTCAGTTGGTCTTCACCTGGTGGACGGCTGCTGGCCTTGCCAAATCCTCCAGAGCTTTTGGATTCCAGACCAGGGGTGAAGCCAGGGACTTCCAAAAGCAGCATGCATTAGAGACTAATTACCATTATTCTCCCTCGGTTGTTAACACTGGGAGAACCCCAAAAGCAGTGGCCACAGCCCTGAGGATGGAGGAGGCTCAGGATGCCTGCTCTGCATACTCTGATGACTGCCAGGGTAGAGAAACTGGCCACCTTCCCTCTACAGACAGTCCAGGCGCCAAGTCACCTTGATGCTTCTAATCCACCCAGGCTGTCTGGCAGCCCCTGCCCACTTCTTTAATGCAATTAAGGACCCCTAGACAAAGCCTGGCACCTTGAGAGTTACTTAAAAGTGACCGGAGTATGAAAGTGCTGGCATATAGGGCTTTATGATGGGGTCTGACACTACTGGGTGGGCACAGCCAGCCGCTTAACCTGCAGTTGTGATCTTGTGTCCTCAGAAACCCAAGCTGCTGTTTGCTGTCAAGTGAGTCAATACTATCTGAACTGATGGGCAGCCTGCTGTTAGGGCTACCTTGTGCTCCTGGGCAGCCTGGCGTGGAGACCTCTCCATGTGGCACATGGCTTTCTTGTTCCCCACACCTCGCTGCCATCTGGCCTAGTCTCCTGGAACTGGTCCCTTCAAGACCAGATGTTTGTCCCCAGTGCAGCTGACCTGCAGCTTGAAGAATGTGGCTCTGCCTGTCTGCCACTGTGGGTGTTGGGCAGCAGGCAGGCTGGCCCTTCCAAGGCCTGGCTGGCTCTGTAGTCAGAATAACAATCGCATCGAATCTTGTTTTGCACTGTGCATCTTTTCTTCTCGGGAGACACACCAAACCTCTGAAGAGACACTTAATCATCGAGGCAGTGACTGGTGCCTAAAGGAGAACATTTGCCCCACTCTCCTGTTCCCTTTGGAGCCATGGTTTGTCCTTGGCCAGCGACTTCTGCTGTGTTCAGAACTGTTCCAGGCACTAGGGGAACAAGGTATGGGAGTGAGCAAAAATTTCCAAAATTCCTGGGTGGGAAGGGCTGGCATTCTAGAGGGTGAGACTAGATGAACAAATATAAACACAGAATGCCGGGGACAAAAGTCATTGGGGGCAGGGATAAAAGGTGGGGACCTGGGCAAACTGGTGACCTGAATGAGAAACCTTCCAGCCAACAGCGGCCTGACTCCCAGATCTTGCTCAGGAGGCCAGGAGGGTTAGGATGGAGGGCACAGCAGTGGGCTGCCTGTCTGACAAGTTCAAGAGGGGACCACTGCAGCTCACACAGGTGACCTCAGTTTGCTGAGCATTGAGACTCCATAGTCTCATGGGAGGCTGCGCAGAGGGGGGATGTGTCCAGTTAATGGCTTACCGGGTCTATCCTGGCTGGCAGGTGGACAGTGAAGGCTGTCCAGCAGGGGCACAGAGTGGAAGGCCAGCCAGGAAGTGGTGAGGTCATCTTCACAAAGCATAATGGCTGTTTGGATGATGGTAGGGGAGTAGGGATCTACAGAGAAACACGGCCAATAGAAGGTTATATATGTTATATATATATATATATATATATATATATATTATAAATAATTGAGATATATGTGTATATCCTGTCTTAGGGTTTCTATTGCTGGGAGGAGACACCACAACCATGGCAACTCTCATAAAGAAAAACATTTAGTTGGGGCTGGCTTATACTTTCAGAGGTTTAGTCCATTATCATCGTGGGGGGAAGCCTGGCAGTATGCAGGCAGACTTGGTGATGGAAAAGGAGCTGAGAGTTCTACATCTTGATCCTCAGGCAGCAGGAGACCAAGACACCCTGGCCAGATTTAAGCATACATAACCTCACAGTCTACCACCACAGTGATATACTTCCTCCAACAAGGCCACACCTACTCTAACAAGGCCACACCTCCAAATAGGGCCACCCCCTATAGACCGAGCATTCAGACACATGAGTCTATGGGAGCCTATTCCTATTCAGATCACCACATACCTCACATGTAACGTGCCTGGTAAGCCTATCATTAATTGGACATATTTTAAGTCAAACATGCCTGTCAGTTACCTAACATATACACTGTAACATTGACAGTTTCTCTTTAGGATCTTGGGGCACGGTAGTTATTACTTCTGCATAGCTTTGAGGAGGGTGGCAGAGACTAAGACTGACTCATACAGCCCGTCATCAGCACAGGGAAAGAGCCCAAGGACAGTTTCTCTTGAATACCACTTAGTAAAGGAAAATGTTAAGTTGAACTGTCATCTAAGTTCAGGAGAGTTGCTACCTACAACAGGTGTTGGCTCAAGTGACTGACAGCAGCCTGGAGTCCCAGGAGGGTCTTGCTGAGACCTGTTTCTAGTCTAAATCTGAAGCTAGAGAACCCAGAGAACTGCTGGTATGCATCCCAAGTTCAAGGGCAGGGAGACACCAATGCCTGGCTTAAGTACCTAAGCAGGCAACAAGAGCAGAGCCCTGTTCTATTAAGCCCTGTTCTCTGTTCTAGTAAATCATTTGGTGGATTAGATGAAGTCAGCATGGAGGTGGACAGTCATCAAATTTAACCTCACCCAGAACCCCCTGTAAGACATCCAGGATAAGGCATTGTGCCCCATCAGACTGACCCATAGAACTGACCCTCCTAGGGTGGGGAAATGACTGGCATCCATGTCTAATGTCTCTATGCCAACTGGCTTTGTGGATAGCCATCATTCTTCCTTCCTGACATCCTTCTTTTTGTTTTGCCCACAGCAAAGCTCAGGCATCCCCTGGATCAGGTGAGGGCTGGCCTCTTGGAGGCTCCTAGTGTCCTGACTTGCCCTGCACCTGCAGCCTCCAAATCAAAACAAAAACAGAAGAAGCCATCTGCTCCTGCCAGGTGGCCTGGGGATCCTGGGTCAGGTGGAGGCCAGGACCTGCTTACCTATCTCTTGGGTTGGACGCGGATGTTTTGGGAAGTCGATAACCCTCTTAGCTAGGGTTCCTGTTGTTGTGAGGGAATACCAGGACCTGGAGCAGTGTTGGGAGGGAAAAGGCTTATTTTGTTTACACTTCCATATCACAACCCAACATCAAAGGAAGTCAGGGACTTAAACAGGGCAGGAATCTGGAGGCAGGAGCTGGTACAGAGGCCATGGAGAACTGCTTACCGGCTTGCTCTCTCTATGGCTTGCTCAGCCTGCTTTCTTATAGACCTGGGACCACCAGCCCTGGGGGGTGGGGGGACCACCCGAAATGGTCTTGGCCCTTCCCCATCAATCGCTTATTAAGAAAATGCCTCACGAGGCCCGGTCTCACTGAGGCGTCTTCACAATTGAGGTTCCCGCCTCGCAGATGACTAGCTCCAGCTTGTGTTGAGTTAAGGGAAAAGCTATCAGGGACACTGAGTGAACTCAGTCAAAAGGGGGTGTTACAAATAGAGGGATCTTCTCAGGTGTGTAGGGTTCTCCTTGTATCTCACCAGCAAAG